AATCATGGGATCACACTCACCTGTTGTTAATTAGCTTCACTTGTGTCACCTGGTGTTCCCTGTGTATACATACCCCTCTCCCTCACTCTGTCGGGGTTGGATCATTGTGATTGTGACTGTGTTAGATCTTCGTGTTCCTGAGTTTCCTACTCTGTGTTTCCTCGTGTTCCGTGTTCCCGTGTTTTCCTCGTGTTCCTCGAGAATTCCATGCATGTTAGTTCTTCGTGTTTTGTTAATTTGGACTTTGTTAATAAAACTTCCTGCACCAGAAAGAGTCTCTCCAGTACTGCATTTGGGTCCTGCCTGCTCCCTGCGATGCTCGCACATGACACCCCTAGAACCATGAGTCCGATGTCTCCTCTTTTCTCCATTGGCACCATTTTCTCCTCTAGAACCTCTTTCTCCATCCTGGTTTGATGAACACCCTTCTTTGTGCCTGAATCTCCTTTCCCCCCTCCCTCCACTGCTAACTGTCCCATTCCCTCCCCTGGACTGTCGGTGAGAGTGATGATGACGATGCTCCTTCTCGCCTGTGACTCCCCCTCCTTCCACCGAGCTCTGAGGATGATGTTTCCTGTCTCCTTCTCTGCTGTGGGATCTGTCACTCCTCCCCTCTTTGCTGCGGCTGCCGTCATGGGCTTTGGATCGACTGTGATGCACATGGTGGTGATGCCCAGATTCACCATTGTCGTACAAGTCCTCCCTGGTCCTGGTCCGATCCCTGTCTCTGTGTCTGTGGTGGCGCCGAGGCTGGTGAGTAGCAGCAGCAGGGTCGGCTGCGGTCTCTGCCTCTTCTGGCACGCCGGATTTATGGAGGTGGTGCTGGTGGACACCCAACACAGGCCCATCGTGGGGCTCGACCAGCAGGGGCCGGTCATGGTGGGTCCTCATGTCAGGTTGGATTTGAAGGGCGGAAGACAGTCTGAGACATTCATCGAGCTCCAGCTCACTATACAGAGCCTCACAGCTGGTCCAGTTTTGCCTCCTCAGTTGGTTTGCCCTCTGCTCCCACACCGACATCGTCTTCATTGACTTCTGCTGCTCTTTACTATCCAGAGTTGGAAGAAACAATGAATTAGTTATTTTATATGTTTCATTTTACTCCTCCTGTGGCACACACAGTTTATACATGTTACAGATTATTTATTACAGTCTACTGTGCAGCGTGCTCACCCACGGACAAATGTCTGAATGAGAGCCAAGCATGGTCACAGAGCCATGCTGTGACATGGTTTTAATACAATTTGAGTCTGATTACACATGAGAAACATGGATGTTCAAACACTGGGAATTAGTTTGTGATAAAACATTCTATTGCAACCCATAAAGAATGTCAATGTGTACCACATTTAACAATAAAACAGCAGTGGCAGCTCTCATCTGACTCACAATAGGAATGCAAGCCTTTAGTGGCCAACATGAAAATGGTAAATGTTGAATTTTTATTTTATTACTATATGTATATATACATATATATAAACTTGTATTGTGTAGCACACAAGTGCCATCATCCAATGCCATTTGTGGGCCAAAAAAGTGGATTTGAGCCATAAATGTTGAACTCTCTGGGGGAAAAGAGAAAGACAAGGGGACAGAATTTAGTTTCAAGGTAAATTTATGAAAAGCAAGTCAGCAAGACAGCTGCTAACACAGTAGTAACCTGGTATGAAAACCTTTGACTAAATGTATTAGTCTTTATATGGGAAGGAAATCAAAAGAGTCAACAAATCCCAAACTCGGTGTTAGGGGTGATTCACAATACTTCAGCATCCGCTGTGGCTCAATGGCTGAATTCATGTACTGACCTGTAAAGAAAAAAAACTCTTCCATTTGATTTTTCATGTATTTGTGCTTTCGTTTACCCTCAGTCCAAACATCTCGGGTTATGACATTATCGTATTGCTACAATCATCACACTCACATTTTACACAGTGCAGAAAGACAGCTACAGTGTATGACCTTTACAACATGTAGAGGTCTGAAATCTGTCGACTGTGCTAAAGATGTAAAATGGACAATTTATACTTTCATTTGCCTGCAGAGGTTTGCATCACAAAAATCTACTATGATGATGCTATGCAAACCCTTAACTCCCTATGATGTAAAAAAAAATTACAAAAAAACTGCTGATTACTACAGTACCTGGCTTCCATCATAACAGAGGCAGTTCTGCAAATATATACATCTGTGGAACTCATTCTTCACAGAATGACCACAAAATATGAAGAGCTGATATTGAGGTTTTTAAGAGAATTA